GGGGGGGGGGGGGGGGGGGGCGAAGGTCACCCAATCCAAAATCTGAAGCCCGAAACTGTAAGGCATCGATGCTAAACCTGAACGCCCAGTCCTAAGCACCGAACCATGAAGCCGATCTTATGAGCCAATGCAGGATCAAGCCCCAAACACCGAACCCCTGAAGCCCCGAACCCGAGGCCTTAGGCCCAAAATCAGCCCATGAAGGATTTAACCCTTAAGCCCTTATAAACCCCTATAGGCCCCAAACCCTAACCCAGAAGCCTTCTACCAGACCATTGGAAGGACTTTCGGATGGGGTTAGGCGTTCAGGAAGCTAGCTCAGGTTTAGTTAAGAGTCTCAGATCTTCAGTGTCTTGGGGCCCTGGAAAAGGGTAGGGTTTTGGGGTTTAGGGTCCCGGATAACACCCCGAAACGCCATGCCAATTCTGAAGGCCCTGCATTGTGTTTTTGGGTTTGGGGTTGTGGGGTTCAGACGACGGAGTCGGCAATTTAGAGCCAGAAGCCTTCTGAGAGCTTCTGGGTTAAGGGCCCCAGGCTTTAGAGTTCAAGGGTTGCGCGCTTGAGGATTCTAGATTCTAGGGTTTCGGGTGCCTCCCTGGCTTAAAGTGTTTTTTAATCTTGGATACTGCCTCCACTCAGTCGCAGTTGAATACTAATTACTGTCTAATGTAGGTGTATGTGTGTATGTATATATATATATGCATACACATAAGGCCCTTAATAGTATCCCTATAGTCCCTATAGCACAATAGACGCTTACTGTATCTTACTGTATGGGAGCAGTATCCAGCGTTTATTGCCTGAGCTCTTATGCACGGCTCGGGTTCAGGGCCGAGGCACGTGGGCATCATCAGAGGCTGCGGGTTCGAACTTAGGATGTTTAAGGTGTTTTGTTTTGCACTTTCTGGAAAGACAGGGGTGCATGGGATCCAGGGTTTAGGGTGGGGTCTAAAGGCTCACTGCTTAACCTCGGGTGTTGCGGTTGAAGGGCTTTGGGCTTTGGGTTCAGGGTCCCGAAAGCCTTCTCTCTGACGGCTGAAGGTTTATCTACTTCGCAGTCCTGAATGCCGTGACCTCAGCATCAAGCGCTGGCCTGCTCTATCTGAGCCAAGCACCGTATTGACTAAAGTGGTGCTGCGATAGGGTTTTCATGCCAGGCCTCAAATAGACCCAGAGATGCTGATGCGCCAAAGGGTGGACTGCCTTTTGACAGCATGGGGTGCCTCAGGGCACGCACCCAGTACCAAAAAGAAGTGATTCTGGTTCGTAGTAGTATACTACTACTGCTTCTAATGGGAGCTAACAACTAGAGACCCACACCTGCTACCCGGATTCCGAGCGAAACCGTGAGGTCTTGACCGCGGTTTTCTGTGTCTTGGCACTGGTGGGATTCGTGTGGGGGATGATTCGTATTGACAGTTCAGGAAGTACTCCCTCGAGTTTAAGAGCTTAGGGCTACTTCTTGCGGCTGCAAGTCATCCTGGTAGCCTTGAGGACCGGTTCCAAATTTGCGACACTACAGAGGGACGGTTAAGTTGCACGCGACGGGTGTGTCCGGCAGGGGACTTGAGGTTCAGGTTGAAGGGTTGAAGGCTACCACCTCTGTTTGGCTTCTTTTCTTGGACCCTTCAGCCTTAAATAAACCCTAAACTTTCAGGCTTAAGCCCTAAACCCTTTATGTGGTCCGGCGGTGATTGATGATCTGCGCGGCCCAGATTCCGCTCTTGGCTAGGCCCCTCGTGTCGAAGCCCGAAGCAGAGTTTAGGTCCATAGGGCTTTAAGGTGTAGGGGGAGTCGGGCACTATGGTTAGGGTTTAGGGCCATAGATGACCGTAGGGTTTTCGGGGTTTGGTGTCTGCTGTTTAGGGTTTGCAAAGTGGGTGCTGGAGTTTCTTCGTCGCGAACTACTATCAGGGTTTAGAGTTTAGCGTTTAGGGTTTGGGGTTTAGGGTTTAGGGTTTTAGGATACGCAAAGAATTGGACATTGTACTGCAAACAGGAGCGAATGATCTAGCAGCGTGCAGGCATGGTTGTCTGACTACTCGCATCATGCCAAATCCCACAAGTTTTATCGGACACTCGCTGTTGTTCGTACTGGCATGGAGCCCTTGTCAATACTTCTGAGCTTTACATGCTGTTCTCCGTTGTCACAGTGCCTGGTAGAAGATTTCAGTGTAAAGCAGTAAATTAAAAGGTCAAGACCCGGACCCGATCCGTACCCCTAATATCGAAACCCTTGAGCAGTAATCCCGAAACATCTCAAGAAAACGCATAAGATCCACAAGGGCGTCTCATGTCTCTCAGCTCTCTCGAGCAAGAAAAGCCCCTAAGCCCGGCCCGGGACCCTAAACAGCGAGGCCAAACGGCAATCGAAAGTGCGCAGAACGATCATGCCACAGCGATCCATTCCATCATGGCCCACAAGGACTTTGGAGTTACGGCTTAGTGTGCAGGGTTTAGCGCATGGCTTTCGAGTGAGTTTGGAGCAAGCTGCTCTACAAGTAAGAGATTGGCAGGCCACCCAAACGTGTAGGAAGATCTTCCAGAACCCTAAACCCTAAACTGCCCTAAACCCTACCTGGCTTGAGTCTTGACTCATCATGCTCGGTGACACCTGTAAGTCAAATTCCTAGGCAAGTACTGTAGTCTCTAAATTTCAGGGTCTACATCACGATCATGTAAAGGACCCGCAGAAGTAAGTGTGAGTGAGAGAGCCCCGGCCGAGCCACTATAGTGGCCCATTACCAATACTATTCTGGGGCTCCTTATTTTAATTATAGTAACGGGATGCCTTTTCGGGTTCTTAGAGGCTTTGCTTTGGTGCTCCAAAAATGCGGCTTGTTTCAGTACGCTACCTATGGGCTCTGCGATGGAAGGAGTCGCACCTGGAAAAGATTCGCATCCTCTTCTCAGAACTTGGAGACGAGAGAAGTGACGTCATCACCTACGCCATGCTCCCGGATCGCAAGTATACAAGACTCAAACAGAGGAAGAAGAGCCCACAAAGAGGGAATGCTACCTAAATCGTAGAGGGTTCCCTCATGTGGTTTAGGGCCTTTAGGGTCTAGGGTTTGGGCTCCCTGGGGGCCTTGAAAGTGCTCAAGTCCAGGTGCAAACACCCGCATGATGTAACGACATTTCAACTGCCTTCAGCCTTTTTCGTCCTTTAATTCAGGATGCCCGGAACCCCAAACCGTCCGATATACGTATAGAACCAAACAAGGCAGAACTCCGGTTTGCAGTTCGTCATCACAACAACTGCAACAGACACTTAAACAGAGATGTCAGTGCGTCTGAGAAGCAATTCTGATGCTAATTCGTGTTGAAGCTTGACGATACTGCTGCTGCAGATGGTGATCGACAAGAACCCTCCCCCTCCCCATCAGCACCTGCAGCACCCTCATCACTGTATATCATCGCAAGAAGTGACAACCTGCAGTCTGAGGCGCTCTTTTGACTTAGTAGAGCAAATGGGTTATGGAGATGTTGGCCGGGTAGGTGATACCCAGTGAACAGACTATGTCAAAAGCGCTTGCAACTGGCGGAGAGAAGTGGCTTCTTAAGATTGCAGACTCTAAACCCCGGACCCTGCTAGGAATTCCGAACGCGGATAGCTGAGGGAACAGAAGCTTCAACAAACAAAAATAAACCCTAAACCCCGACGCGCTTGCTCAAAGGCCGGATGACGCCAACACCACGCATTTATAAAACCCCAGTAATGCAGGGTTTAGGGGTTGGGGGATTTAGGGTTTAGAGTTTGTTTTATAATTGCCAATACTATTTGGGGGGGGGTTCCGTATTATAATTATAGTATAGTATGCCCCAAACCCCTATTCTTATTCTTAAGGCTTCTATATTCATGCCCCTAAGAATGCAGACGTTAAGAATTTGTTGAACCGGGTTTGGGATGCTGCTCGACTGTATATCTGTGCTCGGGATACCTCCGGGGTATACTGTTGACGATCATTCAGGCCGTGTCTTTACCCCAAGCCGTAAATGCCAGCACCATCACAATTGAACTAAACCTCCTAAACCCGGGCAGATCGGCTTCAAAGCGTTTTAAATGGGTAGTTCTCCAAATTAGGGTCCATTTTTAGGTCCTAAAAATCTTTCGGCGCCATTATATAATATATATATATAGAAAGAGAACTTCACAAAGGGACCCTAATCTAGAGAACTACTCATATGCAAACAACCGCTGAGCTTCATACGCCTCACCCTCCACCCAACACCCTCGCACCTGAACCCAACCATTTCCCAGGCCGTTTTTGAAAGTAGTATATGCCGAGGACGGAATAAGAACTGTCTTAAACGGGGCTCCGAGGACAGTCCTTCGTGCTGCTGTTATGCATGTTTTAATATTCATGTTCATGACTACCATTAGTAGTATGGTTCATTGTTATTGATTGCTTTTATTTTTTCGAGTATCACGATTATTTTCATTATTGCTGTTGTCACTTTCATTGTTTTTTGACTGCCCAACTCCTCCAGCCTAAACCCTAAACCCTAAACCCAGGCTAGAGCGAAAGATGATGGCGCCTGAAACACAGCGATACTTCGAATCCCTGGGACTCGAAATCTGGGATGTGTGCCTCGGGGCGCATCATGTCGGGCACGTTGGGGATCCACGGCATTTAGGGTATAGGGTTTAGGGATCCACGGCATTTTGGGTTTTTTGGGGGTATTTCAGGCCTTGGTATCTTTTTGGATCTGCTGTTGGGGCTTGGCTGTTCGAGGCCTTGCTGGCTTTTCGGGTTTGACTTCCTCGAACGCCCCAAACCCTAAACCCTAAACCCTAATCGAAAGCCCTAAATCGGTCTGACGGAGGGGGAGGGCTCTGGGGCTGGAAAGCTTCAGGATCGCGCTTCAAAGGTTGAGGGTCTAGGGGTGTAAGGGTTTAGGGTCTCTAGGGGTTTAGGGCTTAGGGTCTACGGCTTCAGTCTTGACAGCCCTATAAACCACAGAGGCCATAAACTTTCCGTGAGGGTTTAAACTTCGAGCTCTTGCAAACCAGGTGGACCTTCTTCAAGCTCTTGGACCACGATCAAGACGGAAATGTCCATCTCGAGCAATTTCTGATTCTTGGCCTGGAAGGCTTGGCATTACGCTCATTGCTCTTTTGATGAGCCTGGTTCCCACTACCTGTTTTTTTCCAATACCCAACCTCTCAAACTTTTACGGAAGACTGCTGTAGGTTTTGCCTTAAGTGGCTTATTTGTTGGGGAGGGGCTATATCATGCGGCGGAACGTTCAAGAATTCACTGAAAAGCGGCTTGGGCCTTAAATCCCAAAACCCACGATAGATCCCAAATCGGCTACTCCTCAGAGAAGCCAAGACAGTTGGATAGTTCTCCAAATTCGGCTCTCTTCTGGGGTCCTTTATATAAGGGTGCCATACTTTTCCGGGGGATCCAATATTCAAGGGTGCCATACTATTTGGGGGATCTATTAAATAAGGGTGCCATACTATTTGGGGGGATCTAAAAAAAAGGACCCTATCATTCCCAGGGAGGGATGCCTCCGGCTCCGTGGTCAAGCGAGCTCCGTGGATGTTGCGCGGCTTCCCGGCTGCGGATGCTCTTGCCTGGGCACTTGACATTTCAGAACGTAAGGGGCTCCAATTAAAGGGCAATCAGCACATGTAGACACTGCATTTCTCCATGCTGCACCCACTTTTCTGCACTGCGAAGTGCTCTAGACCTCGTTCAGCACTCAGCTCACTCCTGTGTGCCTCAAAGCTTCGCGGTACGGGACGCAGGTGGGAGTTTTTGACTTAGGGTTCAGGGTTCAGTCGTTGGCTTACGAGTTTGCTCCTTCGGCATTTCGAACTCGGGTTACATCCTACATATATATCCTTAAGATCCTATAAGGTAACCCCCAAAACAGAACTACAATGGAGACGAGACTATAGGTAGTTACAACTCCTGGGGTTGGTTTGATTATCATCTGGCAGCCTTCTGATCCGATAATCCGAAGAGATGTCCCCAGATCAGGCTCCGAAACACCCCACGTGAAGCCATAAGCCTTTGAAACGGTTTAGGGTCTATGGGGTTTAGGGTTTTACGGTTTAGGGTTGCCTCAAAGCGAAGATCGAAAAAGGGTCGAATGAATTGCAATCCAAGGCTGATCCATGACCAGACGTGGTTGATCTCTACCCAAGGCCTAGCAGCTGGGACAGGTGTCATAGAGTTAATCTGTAACATCCGTGGTGTTGTCTTCACCGTATACTGTCCAGTCAGGACTAGCAACCTTTTAGTCATCCTACCTAATTGCAACGACCACTGCAATTGCACTTCTTAGACATGTATGCCACTGACCGCGCATTGCTATGCAGCAGTCGTTGTCATCATCATGATTGTCGTTTTGGTTGGCCGCTAACAGTGGGCCAGCGGTACTACTACTACTACTACTACTACTACTTCTTCTACTACTACTACTACTACTGCGACGACGACGACGACGACGGCGACGGCGACGGCGACGGCGACGGCGACTGCGACTGCGACTGCGACTGCGACTGCGACTGCGACTGCGACTGCGACTGCGACGACGACTGCGACGACGACGACGACGACGACGACGACGACTACCACTACGACTACGACTACTACCAGTACCCACCGCCACAACTACTACCACTGCTTGGAGTCTGGATTGTTGGGTAGAACACCAGTGTCTGAATCCATCTTACTTGCTTTTGATTTTGCTTTGATGACAGGCTGTCATCACCACCACTACCACCACTACCACCACGACCACCACCACCACCAGCACCAGCACCAGCACCACCACCACCACCACCACCACCACGAAAACGACAACGCAAACGAAAACGAGCACGAGCACGATCACGAACACGAGCACAAACACGACTACGACGACGGTCGGCTGCTACTGCTACTGCCAATGCTACTGCTACTAGTACTCCTACAACGTAATTTTGACATGCGCGGGCGAGAATGCCGAGTTCTTGCCACCACTGCCTTTGGAGCAGAGGGCTCGCAATGAGGGTTCCGGATGTGAGATGGTTCCTGGGCCCTTATCGGGGCCACTAAACCCTAAAGGCCTAAAGCCAGATACCCTGAACCCCTACAGTGCCCTACAGACTCCAAGTCCCGCTTCAACGCTGAGATGCCACGAAACTCTAATTGATCCCAACCCCAAACTCCCCAAACCCTAAACCACTAAACCCTATACCCTTAAGAGGCAGCTTCCAGAGCTTCGTGGAGACTGAGCTGAGGAGCCTGAGGCAGGAGCTCCGAACATCGAAAGCAGCGTCGCCGGGGCCGAGCCGCTCTCCAAACCGGGCCTAAACGGCTTTTCTTTGGGGCAGCGGGGATGTCGCTGACGGCTGGGACATGCGGGGAGTGACTTCACCCCGAAATGAGGGCTGTCCCTGTGTCCCGAGCCTCTTAAGGCTCACCAGCCTTAGCTACGGGAGCTGTTGCAGAGACGGGCTTCAGTATGTTCGTGTTGAGGGTTCAAAAGGCGCAGTCTCGAGGGTTCATGCATACTTCAAGGTATCTGTGGGAGTTCGTGCACTTTGCAGTGCAGGACTGTTGCTGAAGCCTCAAGTGGCTTGCTTAGGCGTTGTGTTTCAACGTCTTCGGTGGCTTGGTGCTTGCGTCTCCACATAAGGATGGAAAACCTGTCAAGTGCCCGATGGTCGTAATATTAATGACAGCAACCACAGTATGGTCATCGTGTTGGCTGAGGGTGTTGCCTCTGCAAAGAGGCAACCATCAAAAGGTTCAGAGCTTCAGAGGTCAGGTTTCCGGTGTTAAGCGACAAGGACAAGGTGGAAAATGTGCGACATCCCTTGAAACAGCTCTGTTAATTCATTCCCCTGAAGGGGGTCGCCTTCTGATGGGATGCATGTAGGTACTTGATGCTTTGTGCCGGCGTCGTTTCTTGGAATCCTGCACTCATGCAGCAATATCCGAACCAAGTCGCCAGCATCCCCACATTACTTGAACCTTGCAGTATGATGCCTTTCAGGAGCCATCGTCTCAAGCAGCATTTCCCTTTGCTTTTTCTAAGTCCTTCTATGGACAACATGATTCCCGAATCCATGCTCCGGTTTAGTCGCTGTCCTCCTTGGACGTCGGCCTGGGCGCACCATGCTTCCGTGCTGATTTTCGGGATCCAGCATGAGATGGAATCCCCAAGTGTACCTTGTTGTGACGATCCCGGCATTGAAGTTGATACGGGCGGGCATAAAGTAATACGCTCCTCGACGATTTGGGGGCCTCCGTGTCGGGCTGGTCTGTTTGCTGGCGTTCCTCGGCGTCTCAGGTTCGTTAGAGTTAGTCGAGAAGCTTCACGAGACCCTAGCCGTGGGGGCGGCGGCCGGAAGGGTTCTTAACAATCTAATCACGAGGGTGCCAGTGCTCAGGATTGCATATTGCGGCCCCCTATTCTCTGAGAGTCTCATATAGGCCTGGAAATTAGCTGCTCCACAGCATGACCCCGTAGGCAAAAGATGCAGAGCATCCTAAGCGCTCGACCCGCACTTGCAGTTGACCCCAAGCCCGAAACCTGTTCGGCATACTTGACCCCACCACATGTCTAGACCCTACGTCGTTATGACTACTGCGAAATGGGGGGGGGCCTTTCTAATTAGTCCGAACCTTCCATCTAAACAACAGGGTTGCCCCCCCCCCCCGTGACATCAACACTTGATGTATCATAAGTATGAAGTTCCCCTTGCCCGGAGCTATAGCAAGATATTCCGTTTCAGGTAGAAGATTTAATTGGTGCTTCTTTGTATATCGGCCTGTGGACAACCGAGTCGCGGCAACCAGCCTTTGGATACCCAACTTTCCGTGCCAGCGTCTCGCTGCAAAGCAGCAGAAGCTCGTAGAATGCATTCAGAAGGCGCCCGAGCCTGCAGGCAGCTTCAGCCATCTCAAAATTGAGAGGTATTACTCCGACAAGCTATGGTAAGGTCATGCACCCACTGTGGAAAAAGCCGATCCGCTCAAATCGCACTTTAGGGGCAGCCCGTGAGACCCAGGGACACATGAGTAGTGTATATAGGTAGTTCTCTAAATTATAGGGTGGCTTTCTAAGGGTCCTTTTTAGAAGGGTGCCGTACCATAGTGGGAACCCTAATTTAGAGAACTGCCCATATCCTCCCAGGGCCAAACAAGCCTCGACAAGCCTGAACGATCGACAGGTTCGCTTCTACCTTGGTGTATGTAGCGTCTGTGTCACAGGTGCACTTTCATTCAGGTCGCGAGTAACATCGTAGATTTACCGATCAACCTCAGCTATGTAAGTTACAGATACCTGATTTCTTTAAGCCCTATGACTCATATACATGTCTCAGCACGAGACCTAAGCTTGGTGTCCAGCATGCCTTCGAAGCTTTTTGAAGCTTGTAGGGCTGATCCCATGAGAACTTTCGCTTTGTCGCCACCCCCGCTGTCTTCGCATTTCCTTCCTTAAAATGCAGCCGGAGTATGTGCACACGTCATGGCCATGGCGATGAAACAAGTACCAGGTTACAACAGGAGTGTAAATGACGATGACTTGTCGGGCTCGTACGCTGGAGTTTTCAAGTCTTGTGTGCCGGGCACGGTTCCATGTTCATGTGTGTTTTGCGCCAGGCTCTGGACCTGGCATCGACCATCCCAGCTCGTGCTGCACTGATGACCCTCGACAGTTTGGTCTTGCTGGTCTCGTTCATTTTCTGAAATGCCACTAGGCTTGGCGTACTCGTACTCGATGTCGCTGTCGTAGTAGTATACAGTCGCATTGCATGTACTTATGCACGTAGGCCCCTGCAGTAGGGTGTTGTTGTGCCTTTTGAATTTGCCGCTTGGCACGCGTTGTGGTCTTAATCCAGAGCACTGACAACAGTATATTCTTATTACTATATATTATTTCTATTATCATCATTATCAGTATATCATTATCATTATTATTGTTATTATTCGATGTAAAGCCCTCATCCTATCAGGCCTTTTCTGGGAGCGGAGTTCGACCAATCGCCAACTGCAGCCTCCCCAACTCTGCTGCCTGAGGACCTCCACTGTGCGCAAAATCGCAGGGCTGCGGCCTTAGTAAGCATTCTGTCTACAAGTACCTGGGTCCAAGTAGTCCTTATGGCCGGCCTTTGTACCGCCCCAAGGTCTTATAATAAGCAGCCTTTGGACCCTTTGAAGGCGTAGGTTTCGGCATTGAGGCTTGGCGATACTTAAGGATTCGGGTAAGGACGCTGCAGCCTCATTGCCGTCTAAGTGAGTCTAGGTTGATCCGAGTGCTCACGCAGCAGAATCTATTCAATACACGGCTTCCTGCTGGCACTAGAAGCCGCACGGAGGCATAGAATGCAGACCATTTCATTCAGCGTGCCGAACTATTGAGATACTTGCATCTCAGTCTAAGCCACGAAGTACGAAACCCTCAAAACTCAAAACCATCAGAGAAACCTCACTCCTGAGACCCCTAAATCCCACGAGCCCCCATCTCTCAAACCCTCAGTGGCCGAATTTCTAAACCCGACAAGCTCCAAACCCTATCGCCCCTAAACTGCCCCCTTATCCTACACCCTAGGGGCGCTTTCATCTCTAATCCGGCAGGCCGACGGCCGAAGAGCCCAAAGCTTGCGCGCTAAAAGCCCCTGAATCCTGAACCTAACCGCCTAAAACGCGCCAAGCCTAAACCTTACAGTCCGAATTTCTATGTACCAGAAGCCCGAAACCCTAAACCCCCCAAAAAACCGTAAACCAAAGCCATAGAAGCCCCAAGCCCCAAAACCTCCAAGGCCCAGAAATCCTAAACCCTAAGGGCTCTAAGGCCTAAATAAGCCCCAGATCCTAAGCCCTAATAAGATTCCTATAAGCCTAAAGCTTATAGGGTTTACGCTTTAGGATTTATTTAGGGTTTGGGGTTTAGGGTTTAGGGCAGTTTAGGGCCTAAAGGGTTTAGGGCAAAAGAGCCCCAAAGCCCTGAGCCCTAAACCCTAAGCCCTTATAAACCCTAAACCCCAAAGCCCAAAGCCCAAAGCCCAAAGCCCAAAGCCCTTAACCTAAGCCCTGAAATCCGAAGCCTAAGCCCTGAAATCCGAAACCTAAGCCCTGAAATCCGAAGCTGGGGATCCAGGCTGCCGAGGCCTCTTTCGGCCTCCCTGGCGCCGATTCGCAAGCGGAGGACCTCTGCGCCCTGGATCTCTTAGAGGGGTTAGAGGGGTTTATAGGGGTTTAGGGTTTAGGGGTTTATAGGGGTTTAGGGCTTTATAGGGGTTTTAGGGGTTTTAGGGGCTTAGGGGTTTAGGGGTTTTAGGGGTTTAGGGCCGTTTAGGGCTTTAGGGCTTTGGGGTTTAGGGTTTAGGTTTAAGATCATCTGCTAGGACTCTAGGACTCTACAGGGATTCATTTGAGGGCTCTTTCATGCAGTTTAAGTGTTGTGTAGGGCGGTAGAATTGGGATTGAAGAGTCGAACATCTGCGTTGCTTCAGGGGATTACGGCTTTTGGGTTTTGGGTCTAGTGCTTAGGCGGTTGAGGATTTATATAGTGTTTGATTGAGGTCTTCGATTTACGGTTGAAATTAGCCTATCGCAACAAGTTTCAGCCTGCCAAACCGCACTCGTAAGTTTTTCTTTTCGGCCCGGCCCCATAGGTATTAAGGGCAGTCCAAACCGCTTGTCATTTGAGGACGATACCTGATGTTCAGGGCCTACGTGAATGGGTATTCCGTGGTTTGTCTTGGTTGAGGGTCGAGGGTTTGGGACCGGCTCATATTCTCCAGGGTGGCTCCTTTTGGGGATGACCTTACACGGTCCTTTTCATAAAAAAAGAGATTAAACGCTACAGAGAAGCTGCGAAGGAACTACAAAGGACACGACGGGTACTTTCCCGAAAGAAAGTTGCAATAGTAGATGAGGTCCCGGGCCCGAAGACGAACAACAACGAAAGCCCGGAGTAGGAGACGAGACTGACGGGAGCTTAAAGCCCACATGTTGAGGGCACACTTCCAGTATCCGTTTTCTCTAGCAGAGAAAGGTCGCGAGATCCCTAAACCCTAAACCATCTTGCGATCCAGATGCACCAGTTCGAAGGTAGGCTCATATCTGAAGCTTAAGTCTTGAAGTTATATAGGGGCCCTAATAATGACATATACATTATCTTGGGTGGTTCCTTTTTAATTAAAGTAGAATATACCCCCAAAGCCCTATTCTTTATTTTTCGGGCCCCCACACTACGCAGCATAAGTCTTGCCCACGCTTGCACCCTAAATACTCCATAATGTTCTCTCCCAAGCACACTAGAAACCCTTGAGTCCTCGTGTTGCAGATGGGGTCCGGCA